TGAATTTCAAGATATAAACTCGCAATTCTGAGAAAAAAAGTCAGAATGGTGTTTTTATCTCGCAATTCTGACTTTTTTTCTCGCAATTGCGACTATATCTCGCAATAGTGACTATACCACACAATTGCGAGTTATAAAATCAGAATTGCGAGATATAAAGTCGCTGATATTAAATGACTTTATAACTCGCAATTGCGAGTTTATATCTCACAATTCTGAGAAAAATAGTCAGAATTGTGAGAAAAAGTTGCAATAACCTTTTTTATGTTTTTTATTCAGTGGAGGAATTGGGCTTCCATATTTTTTGTGATTATGTAAACATGCGCTGTATTTTTTTAACTAGCCTACCTGTTTGCACATCGCGACGCATCTCGCAGTTTTTCAGCTTCTCAGACGCGATGCGATTTTACGACGTAGTGAGGTAGATATGTGGGGGCGTGTTAGAACGAGCCGTTTTAGGGGGGCGTGGCAGAGTCTTAACTTTGATAAAGAATATCTCTTTGGTTTTGAGACTTTAGTCTTTGCAACTTCAGGGATCTTATCTATGCACAATCAGCTTGTAACACTCCAAAGAGAAAGGAAAACTTGAAATCGCATCATATGACCCCTTTAATATAAACAAGTTTGCATTTTAGAAACTTGAGATACGCATTTGTTCAATTTCGCTGTGCTGCATTCTTGCGTTCTTACGTTAAAGTTTAAGAAAGACGCATTGAACCACACAGGATCACATAGAAATGTTCAAAGAGTTTATTACAGAAATCGCAGTAGAGGCACTACCTCACATATATAGGCACTGAACTACTGAACTGGACTCGCAATTGTGTGTCAACACGGCTCAACACAATTCAGATTTAAATCCAGACCATGTTAACCCATCTATAAGTTTCAAGTGAAGTTCTCTATGTGATATGCAGCTCGAATCTCTGCTATAACATACAATGGGTAATTTAATCGGTGCCAGAGATTTCACTGATATTCTGTGCAGTTTATTGCTTTCTAACTACTCTTCATCTTGACGACATTATTAAAGGTGCTGTAAGCAGTTGGGAATCTGGGAATATCACACATAAATGTAACTCTAATCTGACAGCTTTCACTGAAATAGGTGCCCTGAGAAATCACACCTGTCTCTGTGACAGCGCTAGAATCTGTAAACAAACACACAATTAAACATTCAGGGGGCGCCAGCGCTATTTTAGCCAATCAGAAACACTCTCTATCTGTCAATCGTTCGTGTCTTTGAACTGTGGATTTTTTTAAGAGAAGTTGTGGTTGAAAATGAGCAAAATAGTGAAAGGAGAGCACTTACAGCACCTTTAAGGAGACAGTTCACTCAAAAATTAAAATCCTGTCATCATTACTCACCCTCATATCATTCTAAATCTGTAGGAATTCTTTTGTCAGTCATACAGATGATGTGATTGTGAGGGTGAGTAAATGATGCCAGAATTCACATTTTTTGGGTGAACTATCCCTTTAAGACAGGCAAATGAAATTTCTTTCAAATGTTATCATAAACGTTTTACACAAAGCTTCAATCAACAGCCATCAAAAGCCTAGTTCTGAATAAATGTCCCAACTCACACAGGTTCATGTCTACAGTGCTCATACAACATCAATTCTATAGTCCCATAGTTCTTCACAGAATAAACGTGGATAACAGTTACCTGTTTTTCAAAGTGTAACAACAGAGGCTGATTCAGTGCGTGGTCGACAACAGTACGCTAGAGGGTATAACAGCTTTCGCTGTGTGGATGGGTGTAGTGTAATCTCATGGGACATTGTGAGTTCCCCTGGGCCGACCGTGTGTCTCTGTTCATCTACCTCAGTGTGAAACAATCCTCCATGGCAATATTTCAGATGTGGAAAAACATGAACTAAAATTGCATTTTCTGCTCAGGGCTAAAACCAAGACTTATCTGTCTAGATTAGAGATTATGCAGTGAGATAATGTGGATTTTGATTGACTTTCTTATGGAGAATATGAGTCAGAAGCTGAAATGTGCCCAGAGTATCGGCACTGCGTGTTGAAGACTGTCAGAGGCCATCAGCTACCACTAGTACACCACTACATGACGGCACAACATCATAAAAAAACAACAGACCATCTCAACAGCTCCTCAGATTACGGGTCAACATGACAACCTGTCACCTCACAAAACAAACAGGTTAACCCACGAAACACTGGAGAAACTGCATTTAGTTCAACAACCCACCACAGAGAATATTCAGAACATGGAGAAACATGAAAAATCACTGCAAAACAACTGCTACTTAGAGTTTAGGTGATCATACACTGCGTTTACTCCAAAGTGATTTACATACAAATAAGGGTAAAAGACGAAATGCATTTGAACGTTTACATAATAAAAAAAGCCTGGAGTCCAACTATTTGAATTCCCTAAAGTAATTTAAAGCACTGTGGAGAGGTCTGAACGACACCTCTGAAATAAACAAATCGAGTAAAACATTTCGCACCTCTAGATATGAAAATATGAGCTCACTTCACCCACATTCGCCAGCGCTCAGATCATGGTCAAATGAATTCAGAAAACAGCCTGTTTAACATCTTGAGACATTTTTTTTCCATGAGAGTAAAGAAATTCAGCGTTTCCATTTCGTAGAGGCAGCAGAAATGAGACTCGAGCGAAAGCGAAAAATACTCTGCCAAGATGAGTCATGTGTCTTGTTGCAGAATTCGTAGACAAGAAAAAAATGGAGGTATATTTCTCTCGGCATTATCGCTTTCCCTCAGATCATCTATTCACACGTTGTCGTCTCCTGCGGTGCTGGAGGGTGTTTCAAATTTGAACCTCTGCGACATTTAACCTCACATGAAGCAAAGTGAAAATGAACTCGCTATTTCAGTTAGCCTGCAGCAGAACCTACATTAATGAGACCAAAAATAAAATAAAATAAAAAAATGAAAAATGTAAATACAATAAATAAAAATTAAATAAAATTTTTAAAACTTAAATTAAAAAATAGAAAAAATAAAATTAAGTAAGAAAGCTCATCTCCTGGCGTTGTCACATATCTTCCAGTCGTCTGTTGTCTGTGAGTAGGAAGGCTTTCATAGCTTCATACAGACAAAAATATGTCTATTTCCACTTTAAAATGATGCACATGATCGCCATCTGCCAGCACAGCATCACAGTCATAGGGGAGGCGTAAATCTAAAACAAGTATGTGGATTGTATTTGTTATTCCTTTGATTCTAACGTTTCTAAGAGGCATTTTAATGTTGGATGTAAACCAAACTGACATTCAATCCTCACCATCCCAGCCAAAAACATACAAACAGCCATTTGCACTCAAACAACAGTCAGTATGAATATGTATGAACGTCTTATTGTGCCCTCGGGCACCGTATCGCCCAATAACAACAGGTCAGCAAACCGTCTGAGACCAGAACGTGATGATAATCGTGTGTGGGTGCACATATTTATACAAACACACGCAGACCAGATAAATCAAACCCATACTGACCTCTCACAGCAAAGATGCACCTGAATTTAGTGCATTCAAACCTGTCAGTAAGCATTGTGAATTCCTGACATGCATGAGTTCTGTTTTCAGCATGCTAAATGAGCTCAGTGACCCGATACCCTTGTCAAATCATCAGTGGGGGCAATACAAGACCCTCACAGGGCACTGGTGAAGCGAAAATGAGGCGTATGAGGTCTAAGTCAAGGGTTTTATCTCATCAAAAATTACAGGAAGTGAGCCCTCTGTCCTCCTCCACATCCCCTGAGAGCGTTCATCTCTCGCCCTGTAAATGGGTCACTCAGAAACAGTTAACATGAGCCGTGAATCGCAACTGCATTGACTAGATTTAATTAGCTCTTACCCTGAAGAAACAACTTCCGATTAAGTATAAATGTGATTGTGAACTCGAGCTGCGAACACATTTCCTGTGTTTGATGTGCCGAGCGATCTTGGAAATTTTCTCAGTTGATTTATTAAGAATTGTAGTGTCTACTAATTTAGCGTCATGGTTTTCCTCAAACAGCACACTCCAGAAGAAAAACACACTTTGTAAGACTTTGTCCAAACTTCATTAGTATTAAAGGAATGCTCTGGATTCTATACAAGCTCTACTACCACAGAAAATATTTTTCAACTGGTTCATCAGCAAATAAAAACAAATATGATAGCCTATATATTTACAGTAATGGACTTACAGTGGTCAGTCCGTAGGGCAGGGCATTACACTATAGGATCAACATCCAATTTTTTTCTTTTTTTGAAAATGTAACCACAAAAACGAACCATATTCATGCTAACATGAGATTATTGAAAATTTCAACTTCTAACATAACCATTTAAAGCAGGTGACTGACCCATACATGTGTTTTTTGATTATGGGTTATGATGACATACATAAACTATAGCAGGGTTTTCACACCTATTGACCAGTGAATTTAAGAACTCTTTAAAATAAATATATTTATTTTATTATTCACCAAGGATGCATTAAATGGATCAAAAGTGACAGTAAAGACATTTATAATGTTACCAAAGCTTTCTTTGTGAAGTAAATGCATTTTTTTTTTAAACTTTCTATTCATAAAAGGATCCTGAAAAAAATGTATCACGATTTCCCCAAATTATTAAGCAGCACAACTGTTTTCAACATTGAATATAATAAGAAATGTTTCTTGAGCAGCAAATCAGCATATTAGGATGATTTCTGAATAATCACGTAACACTTGAAATTACATTTTTAAATATATTCAAATACAAAACAGTTATTTTAAATAGTTAAAAAAATCACTATATTACCACTCGACTTAATATTTGATCAAATAAATGCAATCTTGGTGAGCTTAAGGGACTTCTTTCAAAAACACAAAAAAATCTTAATAAATAACATGTAAAATAAAAGATTTTTGTACAAATTAATTAATAAAAACACTTTAATAAAAAAACATTCCTTGCCACCTAAATGTCCATTGCAAGAGCATTACTGTAAACACATTTTTTTGCTTGTTTTTAGGGACACATTCAAATGATCATCTGTGCTAATCGACAGTATATCACAGATACTTTCAAGCTAAACCTGTTTTGAACCCAGAACATTCCTTTAATTAACCGGCTAGATGAACCAAGTTCTCCTCCATCTCCCCTGTCTCATGCTACAGTGAGGCATCAGTGATTTACCGTTATAAGAGTTGCTCTTTCCACGCATAACGGTTCTCAATTTCATACGTGCATGGCTGTGAAGGTACAAAAACACACACGCACACGCATCTGCCTCCGATTTCTGAAGTCTCACGCAGAACGTCCTCTGTTTGTCAATAATACAAAAAGTGCTAAACATGCTACCTCAGACGGGTGCTGTGGCAGCGTGGTGGATATGGCCCTAAGTTCCTCTTTAGTTTGCCAGAAAATTACCCTGCTTTGATACTGAAAAATGCTGTACATTTCAAAGGCGCCTGGAGTGTTGCGTGTGTCTGTTCGTGTAGGTCTGCACATTTATCTATATATATTAATATAGTTATAATTATATATATATTCATAAATATATTTACTATATTTAGTATAGTTAGATGAATGATATATTTAAGTATTTTTTGCTTGTCTTAGATCTCCAGTCCAAAACTCTTCTGGCCAGAGGAGTGGAACGCTGTCCAAGCTCCAGTAGATTGTCTCCACTATTCAAAGTATAAAGCTGATGCGTCCTCTGAGGGGAGAGTCTGTGAATATTTGTCAGAGACACACACGTCAGCTTGACGTCAGTATGCGTGTGTGTGTGTGTTTGCAGAGCTGACACTCCGGAAAGTACAGCATGTGAGGATTTGTGTAGTTGTTCATTAGTGTGTGTATGTGTGTGTCAGACAGTCTCTTTCAAACAGAGGGCTTCCACGGCGTTGCTGGGACCCTGGGACACCCCTCCGATGAGGAACAGCATGTTTGGGGTTTGAATGGAGGCACAGGAGCAGCGAGGGCTGGGTAACGGGGCCACGGGTTCCCATCTCCTCTTCAGCTGGTTATAACTCTCCACTGACGCCAGCGGGGACGGCTGGTTACCTGAAAGCACACAGAACAAAGCACTGTCACAAACAAACAGAAATACAGAGCTGTATGCACTGAAGATCTCAAAATGTGTAGCAAATGCATGATAATGCGAATGTATCAATGGGTTACATTGATATTAACCATGAAATATAATAAATGTTGCCTTTTTTATTTAATACTGCGGTAGACCATGTAGCTGTGATCATCTAAATGCTAAAGCAGAGGTTTTGAAACGGGTCACTATGTAGTGCTTAAGGATTTGTGAAAATTTGTGTTGTTCTTTTATTTAATTTTTTTTAGTGCTGTCAAATCGATTAATCGCATCCAAAATAAAAATTGTGTTTACATAATATATGTGTGTGAACTGTGTGTGTGTGTGTATATATATATATATATATATATACACACACACACACACACACATATATATGTATATATTTATATATGAATTATATTATACATAAATATAAATATATATTACATTTCTTAAAGTTATACATGTATGTGTGTGTATTTATATATACATAAAAAAATATATAAATAATACATACAAATAAAATACACAATACACACACATATGCAAACACGTTTATTTTGGAAGTGATTAATCGAGTTGACAGCACTATTTCTTTACAAAATGTTTTTTTCATGGCTATTAAAGTTAATGCATTAACATGTAATATTAAATACATTTTACAAAGTGTTATAATTAAATTTTTTTTAACGTATTTATTATTTAATATATTACTGTTTCATTCTGTGTTCAAAAATGTTTAAAAATCATGAGCTTAATTCATGATTATTTTATACTACACACACACACACACACACGTAATAATAATACTCTAAATACTCTGAAGATATTAGAAAAAGACTAAAGTTATTTGAAAAAATTGATAGTATATTTAATATTTTTTAATAAAAATATTTTATATTAAATATTTGCATTTAATAAACATTTACTATATAAATGTTTCAGGGGGCTTTGGTCAAATGTCAATAATAAAAGGCATTAGAACAAATGTGATTTGAAACATTTGTATAATTATATTATAATTTATTTATTATATAAGCAAAACTTACTTTTAGCAGGTATGCACATTAAAAATGTATCTTTAAAAAATGCACTAAAAATACTGATATATATACGCCTGTACTACACAGATTTTTAACCAATCAGATGCTCTCTAGAAATGAGAATGTCCCGCTCCCAATACCACCTACATTCAACTAGCAAGTAGCAAATCATAATCCATGGCTGTGAAGAAAACTATTGGCAATTAAAAAAACAAAACAAAGGGATGATCCCTTCAATATTTCCCATCTAAACTCCTGGATTCACAAAGAAAAACACAGAAACTGTGCCTGTCCAGAATTAAAAGTTAGTCAAATACACTAAACAAGTGTCCCAATCCATATGTGAAAGCCTAAAGTAAATATTTCCAGATTCAGTATATCCCAGGCAGGTGTGCAGAAAGCCCTGTACATTACACAGCCTCTCCAGCCATTCAATCAACACAACACCCTCTCCACATTAGCATACAGCATCCACAGCGCGCATCCTCACAGCACACACACACACTGCGGATGTTTCTTGCAGATGAAGCACTTGACACCTGGTGGGTTTTGGGACTAAAGCAGGTTTGAACAGGTGGCAGCATGCAGATTTCGTCAAATTATGTAACTTCTACAGATTCTGTGGCTTATGCTTCGAGAACCTTTTGCTGTTATGTTGCAAAATAAATAAATAAATAAATAACAACAAAGTTTCCCTGGTAAATCCTGGCACAAACACTGCAGTCGCAGTGAACAGCGAACATTTTCTCATTTTCCCCAGGGTCAGTTCAACTAGGCTGTTTTCACTCCTTTTCACTCCTGACCTAAATCATCACGCAGTACCTGCCGCTAAGTTTCCATGGTTACTCAAATTGAAGTGCAGATGATATGGACGGACTGGTGCAGTGACTATTGCTATCATAATTTCCTGCTAGAACAAACACTTGGGCGAATCCGCTTGCGGTAATCAAAAGTGTCACGTCGAGCTGTGCTCCGGCGCTGGCGTGGAGAGCTCGAGCGTGTTGCTACGTATCCTCAGGCTCTTTTGTGTTCACACAAATACATATTTGTAAAAGTGGTTTTGTAGGAGCTGTTCGCAAAGGTTAGATTGATCTTTGCTGAATGATTCTCACCACCTCCTCCACCACCATCTATGGGGAGCCAGCCACCTCAACAGAAAAGAAAATCTTAAAGAAAAGTGTTAAATTTAATGTAGATCTAACTCATAAAATTAAATCTAAATGTTAAATCTTTATGTAGAGCTAAATATTCAATGCTCTGATCCGGCAGCAACTAACAGAAAATGAAGCTGAACCATCAATAAAAATCAAAGAGATTTCTAAATTCCAAAAATTTAAAACATAACGCAAACCATTTCACAATTTATTTCAAAGTTGTTTTACCTAAACCAACATTAAATTTTTCATTTAGTTTTCGAAACTGGAAATAAAGTTTGGAAAATTTGGTAACTGAACATGCTATTCAGGTTGTTGTGTTCTCAGGCGATGAATTAAACCAGGCATAGTTAAAATAATGCAGGCCAAGGCACACATAAGTACAAGTAAAATATAAAAAGCCTTTATTTTCTCATGTCTATATAATGCTAAAAACAATCACCTAGTTAAACAGGCGTACTTAAATTCTGACATTTCAGTTGAACAAACTTTGCATATTGCCACTTCAGTATCAGTTTTGGTCATGGTGAATTGTGTCCATGCTATTAACAAGTTTACCTGCATCTTGTAGTTTATCCATGTTGTGTGCATGAATAGGATGCTGAGATGCTCAAAACACGTCATTGAATAAGTCCAATTTTCATCCATAAATGAAAATGATGTCATCATTTACTCACCCTCATATCATTCCAAACCTGCAGAAGTTTCTTTCTTATGTTGAAGAACCAAACAGTTGTTGGTCCACATTGACTTCCATAGTAGGGAAAGAAATAACTGTTTGATTACCAGCATTCTTCAAAATATCTTCTTTTGTGTTCAACATAAGAAAGAAACTCCTACAGGTTTGGAACAACATGAGGGTGAGTAAATGATGACAAAATATTAATTTCCGGGTGAACTATTTCTTTAAGTGTCACTGTTTTGTCCCTTCAAATCTATTTGGATCAAAACCAATATATATATATATA